ATGGGGAGGTGGCCGAGCGGTCTAAGGCGCCACGTTAAGGCCGTGGTCTCTTCGGAGGCGTGGGTTCGAATCCCACCCTCCTCATGTAATTATTTAATTTTTCAATCTTGATATCGATATGATAACTGCTTTCTTTTGTTTCAAAATAGCAAAATCTTTTTACCTAGAATTGATGCGCATGTATCATTTATTATCACATTTTTCAAATCATCAAATGAAAATCATCAGATCAAAAACGACTGATAATAAAAAATGGCTTATAAAATTTGCGTAACTTTCATGGATGTATGTGATCATCAACTACTAAACTTCAGCTACAAATTGATTATTGATTATTGTTATTTATTATAGACACCTACTCATCCAATCCGCAGGAAAAATAGAAATATCTGGCGGCAATGAATGGTATACTAACGCATTATGATTCATATTATCCGCCCATATGAGAGTTCGCCATTATTCCTTCCCGTTGTTTCTCTTTATCAGTTTCATTAATCGTTCTTGACGTGATGTCTTTAATAAAAGAGGTAGTTTAGATTAATTAATACATATACTTCTTTCTCACATTAATTATCTTGATTAATTACTAATTTTCGCTTTTTTAATACTGAGCGAGATCGACAGTATTCAATTGATACTACTGGATTTTGTGGTATAGGATATCGTAATCCCCAACGATCCAACCGTTGACATTTCTACTTATGTAAAAATAATGAGTCAAATATTCTGAAAACAAAATAATCTTTATTGATAAGAATCAAATACCCTATAGCCTTCTTCATACTCATCAAATGCTTCCCCGCATTTTCTTTTTTTTAACATCCGAGTTCTCATATCTACTACATTTTTCCATCTTTGAAGGTACTTTCTCATCAGATGCTGTCGTCGGACGATTAATCCACGATTTTCGACTCTTCGTTTTTTTGCAAATTTTCGCCACTTGTTTGCATACTTTCGTGTAATAAAAGCTCGCTTTTGGATTTGATTTTTTCGAGGAATATTTAAAAAATGAAAGATATCATTGATACACTCGTATTCACGAGCATTGACCAATATCTATCAATATATAATATTACATATCAATTTGCAATTTAGTTCGCTTTCAATCAACATCATTAATCTACAAGAGTGATGAAGAAAGAATCAACGCGAAAACATGGAAGAAGTACAAACCTTTTTCACGATTTGGGATCCTTTATGTTCCAGCATAGAGCTAACTTGATCACTTTTACGTGCTAAATTTGAAATGACATGCATCCTTCCACGCGCGAGACTGGAAGTAATTTGAGTAGAATTAATTTGATCATCTATATGTGCATGATAATTAGCTTGATCCACTGTATCCGCGAAATGAATTATAACTCGGACGCCTGTATTTTCATTGCTTAGATTAAAAATAACTTGTTGGTCTGTGTGATCGTGATTAAAAGCAAAGGATTGCAGCAAAGACCCTAAAATGCTGTTATAAAACATTTCGATATTTATTCGCGTCCCTTAGTTAAAGCTTGAAGGATCCGCTTTCAGTTGCGATAGAATAAAGGGTAGAAAGATTTTGAGAATATTAATTGTCAATCAAATGGGATAGATATAGACCGTTGCAACCAAAGAATTAAGATACAATATCTCACTTTGAAAATACTGAAATGAAAAAAACGCGTAGCATCGAAAAGTTAATTTGGTACCAATTGATAGTGATCAACATTTGCATTAACATATTTATTTTCAATAATTGACCATCAGTGTATTTTATTTATATTATATAATGATCATTGTCTATTTTTCATTGTTAGAATCCGAGTCAGAACCTTTTTCATAAATAACGTGTTTTCCGTGTTCAGATTTTGGTTTTTGTTTCAATTGCTAACAAAAAATTAAAGATAACAGAGATTAATAAATTTTTTCGATTGAAAAAAGTGATAATACAAACACGTACATATCCAGGAAAGTCATATTCGATCCCCAATTTTTGCAACTTTTTCCTCCTCTCTGAATCTTTTAAAAGTAATCGTTGATTTTGACGCTCTTTTTCAGAGGAGGTTCTTTTTCGATTGTGCTTTTGCGCTTCAATTTTTATATAGTTCATTGGGACAAATTTCTTGTTGGCGCCTACCCAAAGTTTTTCGTGGATCTGTTCTTCTGGTACAATTTTACCTTGTTAAATGGAAAATTATTATTATATATATAAATATATATATATAATTTATCCATACATAAACATTCATTCATTTCGTTGTAATGACTCACATTGCAATATGCTTTCATACAAAATATAATTATTCATTGTCTCCGCAACTATTTTCGCTACTTCTTCAGATGCGAATTCAATAAATGCATAATGTTTGGATTTACCAGTCTATATAGAAAAAGAAAATTAATGAAATAAATTACTTGTGAAATTAAATCACAAAAAAAAATACCTTTTTATTTCGAGATAATCTCAACCGAGTGACAGTACCAAATTGACTGAAATACGCACGCATCTCCTCTTCATAAAATCCGTGCGGAATTCTTCCAAGATAGACAACACCTCGTTTCATTTCTTCTCCCTGAATTATGTTTGATATTTTTAATAAATTATAAATCATTACAGTCTGCCTCCGTTGTTATCAACCTCGCGGGATTGGGCAATTTTGTTGATATATACGCGGGTGGATAACTTATATAGGCGCATAATACCAACAGCCGATTTGTTATTGATATTAACGGAGGTATATTATTATAAAAATCCTGGTTTGATGTTAACGAGTTGATATCTATGAGTGAATTTTTATATCAAAAAATCCTTTCCATGCTAATAGCGGGGGTGTTGATATCAACGAGCGCAGACTGTATATGTTATTGACTTATATACCTTATTTTTTAAAGCATCAAGTCGTTTTCTTAAATTTTTTTCATCTTTAGGGTCTAGTGGAATCACTGGAACATTATCCGCAAAAAGATCTTTATTTACAGAATTATCCTCGTCAGAACTATCTTTCCCTTCATCACTGCTATCACTATCAACTATAATATTAATTTTCTTTGAAGCTAATAAAAGAATATCAAATAAGTATTTTTCATTTGTTCATATTTCAATCAATAAATTTATTAGTTTTGAACCTGTAGTTGTATTTTTTGCCATGACGAAAAAAAATAATTTATAATTTTTTGTGATAGATCATCACTTTTATAATTGTTCCAATTGGAGGTTATGAGATAATCTCACGTGGAATTGGCACGTGACGCAAGGAAATTGATTTTGAAAAAAATTAATTCTTATTAAAATACATAATTGTAAGTGCACGAAGAGATCCTTGACTAAGATTTATCAAAATTTTGTTATGCCGCACTAAAACTACGTTTTACACTACATGATGAAATTGATAAACCAAATATATTTGATAGCTATTTCACGTAATTGATATGAAATTTTGTTCCAAAAATCATCTAAATTATCAAATTCGATTTCATTTAAATTGATATTACAATAAATTGCCCATTCTTAACGTTTGTTGTGTTGATTATGATTTTCTTATGACTTGCTGTATTAATATGCGAAAAAATAGTTATTTTATGTTCCATTTAACTGAATGACTTCAAAACTGACATAATAAAATTCCTTATCATAACGAAAATCTTCAGAAAACTCTGTGCACAAGTATATGCAGTTATTCGTTTTTTTTGTAATACATATATATATATACATAAAATTCCCTTTATACCGATTTATTTCGTTTTGTCTAGATAGCATGTTATATGAATTTCTCTGTCAGTATCGGTCGGATGGATTGTAACACTTCAAGCATTGCTAAGTATGACTACTATTTCCTGCATGATCTCCGGGCTACATCAAGTAATGCCCGGAGAAAGATTCCCCAAGCGCCATTTTCATCTCGATCCCACAATTTCGACATTTATACACTTCGGATCCTCCGATATTTTGGATATCACTACACCAGCTGCAAGTCTTTGAGGTATATGCCTCATTATAACTTGGACTCCTAATTCCTCGGCCTTGGCGATCAGATGTTGGGGGGCGTCGAATTCGTGAGTAAAGAATGCAACTGACTTCCGAAAAATTGCTGTCTCAAGTTCTCTTAGCTTTTTTCTTCTTACGCTTCGAGGTAGAGGTAGCTAGATGATCTTTTTTCGAAGTAAGATCATCCATATACTTGCAGATGCGAACAATACGACTGATGTCGCTTCTTCCAATCTTTTGTGGGAAAAGATATATGCTACTATTTCCCAACCAATACACGTGAAAAAACATAATTCCGTAATTTCGCCCAAAACCCATAACCCCCGCTAACAATTACAACATAATAAAATTTTCCAACGATAATCA